AAAAAAAAAAAAAAAATCGACGAACCTCGTTCTCGAAACTATTTAAAGAGTTTGCGCTCGTAAGATCCTCATTGCACCTCGCCGATGTTTACGACAATCTTCTCACTTAATATTTTTTAATTAATACTCTGATCTAACTCTCGCCTTGTTCATCAATTCAATACTTTCAGAGAGTTTGTTATCCGTATCTCTTTTATGATACATATTAATTTCATCAATGCATATTTCTTTATAAATATTAATCAAATATCCTTTTTTTGCATGCACTTGTTCAAATAAACATTTTAATGTAAATATCAACTCAATCACTCGAATCTCTCGAAACGTTCGATAATACATAAATCGAACTCACCATCGTTAAATCGGTAATTAATAGTATTAATAATGAAAGTAAATAATGCAAGTACCTGAATTCGATAAAGCCGTGATGAAGTATCAAAGCCATAAAATCGCCTTGAAGATCGTCCCGTTCTCCCGCCAATAGGAGTACCCCATCCCACGCTTCGGGCCGAAATTCCAGCTCCAATTGCACGTGTTTGTAAGCGGCTCTTAAGGCGGGAAAAGCCAGCCAGCCTGATCCAGTGAAACGCGGCGATCTCACTTCAGCCTCTGAAACGCAACATTACCTAAGGATCTTTTCACTGACTCAACGGAATTTGTTTGAACTTTGTTAATTTGTTTTCGGTTTAAATTAGCAACGATATATTTACAGTATCGACTAATTTGCAGAGATAAGCAAAAATTTATGAATCAACTTTTACGATAATTGTGAATAAAAAATTCGATATGTGTTGAAAAAATACATACCATTCGTAGATTTTATAAAACGAATTCGAAAATTCTCCTCTTTATCAGAACTTTATCACATTTTGCTATATCTTTATGAAAATATGCGAGTAAAAATAATATCATCTTGATTCCTTTTATAAAAATATATTTTTATGTATCTTGCTTTCATGATATATTTTTATTAGAATTATTTTTCATAAAAATTCTATTAAAATATATATGCACGGATATAATACAAAAAAAAATGTATTAACTATTATATATCTATATAGACAAAATATAAAATAGTAACAAGTTTGAGAATTTCCAATACATTTATGGTGCATCAGCATATTAAAATTCGCCAAAGATATCGTTTTTCGTGGCACTATTAGAAAAGCGCCACTTTAATATATACATTTTTTAAAACGTATCACGAAATAATCTCGAGAGAAACGTGCAATTTGTAGTTGAGAGACGTGCGAATGGTTAGCATGCCGGTACCGTCGACCACTTTCGGAGGATATATATCGACTGTGAAGGGAAAAGAGCGGAAAATCGAGAATTCCGGCCGCATGCGAGGCTTATACGGAATGTCCCTTCACTACCACGATCTACAACCTCGTATCAATCACGTGAGTGTACCGCAGGGTGTACCCGTAAGAGGACGACCCTCCCGAGCTCGCGGAACACGTGAGTGTAAGGGTGACGATAAATCAGGCTGGACCAGAAGAATAGAAAAAGTTGCACCCGTGGGGCCTGGAAATGGAATTCCAGTTCTTGATAGCGCCAGGAATCCTCGACACTATCGTGTAACAAAGCGCCGTTCAACCGCCGGATCGTACACGCAATTACAAATCGGTGATATCGAAAAGACATGGGAAATTTATCGGACATTGACATGTTGCAACCGTGCGAGGAAATAGCTCCGATCGATTGGTTTATTACGCTGTAAAATCGATTTTGACCCAGCACACATTGATTCATCTTGCTAGACTATTTGTTATTATACGAAATTGTAGCATATTATAATTTATGTATAACTACCCGAAAAAGACTGGACTTATATAATTACATAAAATCATATTTAATTAAATCTGAAAAACTTTTGGTGCGATATATGATCTGGCTAAATATAATTAAATCCGAAATTTAACGCGATATGATTATATAAAGATAAGATTATATCGCGCCAAATTTCGGATATTATATATATGATCATATAAAATTATACAAATGTTATCAGATCTTTTCATATAACTAATATGTATATTTACATCTAACCATATTATATCATTTTTCTCGGCTATTTGCCTTTTAAAATTTTAATAACGGTGCGTTAAAAAATTTAAAAAAATTTTCCAATCATTATTAATCGCAATAAATTTAAAATCTCAATTTAATTTTAATTAATTATGATATAAATATAATTAACTACAATTTAATTTATTATATTCAATTTTAAATAAAATTTTATAATTGTATAAATTATATCTATAAATAAAAATAGATATAATATAATAATTTTCAACTATTTAATTTTATCACACATACATGAATAGCTGAGCTGAATGCTAATATACAGTAATTAAATGAAATATAATTGTAATTAGGGAATTTAATAAAATTCATGTGTTCACTATAAAATATAGTAAAGTCTCCAACACACACCATTGACAAATATTAATATTCCATAAATTGCTATATTCGCAGTTGAATAACCGAGTTGCAAGACTATATATTCCTTGCAGTAGAACAAGTACATCGCAAGCGGACCGTAGATTCAACTCTCATAGTAGAGTAAGTAAATTATAGCCGGACCCCATATATTTCTTCCTACGAGTATAACAAGTACATTATATTCCAATATAATCCGCTTTTCGATTACAAACTTACAGTATTCTAATATATCTAGAATTGACTGTATCGTAATTATAGAATCACACGTATAACTGCATTTTTTCGCTATTTTATTTCTAACATACCGATAACGAAACTTAGGTAAAGAAAATGAAAGAAATCAATATTGTTATGCCCGTGGCTGTCACATAAATAATAAATAAATATAAAAGAAAAATTATTTAACAAAAAATAGATAATTATTAATAATACAATATCACTGTTAAAGAGAAGACGAACGATATACTCAACACACTTAAATAAATTACAACGCGATGCAGAAAAGATACATGATGTTTTACATTAGGAGTGAATTTCGTTCTACCAGCCTTCTTTCATCTTGTTTATTTTTGCGGTCTATGTACATTGAGAAGTGCTTAAGGCACATGGCAAATAAATAAGTTACTTTACCGCCGAGGGATGCAAAAGGCAAAGAGTTCGATCGATTAAAATCGAACAACTCAAAGTTACCGTCTCTGATGTTCGCATCGCGCTCGACTTAAACGCGGGAAACGAACTTCCGGAACGCGGGAGAAACAACGTTCCCGCCGCGTTCAGCCAGGCGTGTAAACGCGAACGAACCGGGAGAGCGATCGGGAGCGACGACGGTCGGTTCGAAAAGAGAGATGCTGCGATCGTAATTCGTTTCCCGCGGCGACTTGATTGATCGTTTCGGCATTCGAGAGGCGTGCCTTTATGCAAATTAAGCGGACCAAAAGACTCCCGCGATGCAGTTTCCATCTGAGCCCCGCAAAATGGACGTAACCGAATGTCGGCCCTCTCGATACGCTGTCCCGAACAACGCGAATGCTAATGAAGATCCTTTCTTCGCCGTTAAAAATTTCAACAAGCGTACATATATCGCTCTCTGTCAAGTATGTCGTGCACGTTAGTACGCCACAAATCCTTCGCAGCGTGCAATTTTTATTAAAGTCAGAACTATTACGTGGAAATTTCGCATTGAAAACCTTCGTTAGAGAAAGGGAGAGGAAATATAGGAAGATGAAAGAGAGAGTAGAAGATGAAGATTACGGTTGTTAACGACGATAATGCGGTTCCAAAACATATCTTTGAGCTGATATCGTTTATTATTTTTTTTTTGAATTATTTTTTATAATTCTCATTCTGCTCTTTTGATGTTTTATTATAGTGATAATATGTGATAATATGTTTTATTATAGTGATAACCGGCTAATAAAACGGAATTCTATCGTACGGCCATTGTCAAAGCATAATTAATATAATTTACATTAAAAAATGTAAAATATCGGCATTTGCGAGATAGTACCTTTTGCGCGCAATTTTATGTTTTTATTGTAATTTTTATTATATACGTACGTTAAATAGATAACACGAATGCATAAGATATGAATATAAAATTTTCTTACGATAGTAATTTATGTGTAGAATAAGAATAGAAAAAAAAAACTAGTCACGATTTGCATGGTACGAAATCATAACGTACGACGTGTAGAAATAAATGTATCGATTACGTTGACATATTGTGTAATGGTTACACGATTCGCAACAATTATTGCATTTCAACGTCGTAAAGTTTGGGCTCTTCGTATCCGCTAATGTTTCATCATTAGTTCCATATGATTCTGACAATTAATAGAGACTCGATGGCGGTGACATAGACATCTTTTCCCCTCCCTCTTCCCCCGATATACGAATCGTATGTCAAATCAATGGTACACGTTACAAACATGTGCCAGCCATTTTCTCCGGAACATTAACGGCTATTCGAATCGTATCATCGTCAATATTCGCGTCCTATTCCCGTGTTAGCGTTGTTATCGATTCGATACAAAGAGTAATGTCGTGTAGCGAAGCTTTCGTGATTATACAGGGAATTATGACACGATGCAATTATAATACGCGCGATGTCGATATTACGATAGATGTTGGTGATCGTGACGCACGAAGTTGTAAATAAAACAAAATTTGCATTAACAGATCGTGGAAAAATAACAGATCGTAATATTTTAATGTTTTGTTTTATTACGTTTGACAAATTATTTTATGCATTTTAATATTTTGAGTGCAAGCAATGCATGTTTACGTTTATCTTAGCAAATTCGCATATTTCGTATATTTCGTTATTCGTGTTACAAATCTGAAAGTTGCGTTAAATTACGCTAAAAATTTTAGAAAGTGTACCCAACGAAGAGATTTCGTACCCGTTGAACCATTTAAGAGCCGTTTCAAGTAGCGCGAGTCCATAATTTCTCCGGCATTCAGGTTCTGAAAGACTGAGCAGTCAGTGGATAATACTACTTAAAAGTCAAATACGATCATGAATCCGGCATAATCCAAGGTAAAAAATGGCGAAAGTTTTGTCGAAATTTTCATAATTAAATACTTTACATAAGGGAGATCGTAAAAGCCAGACGAAAAGTTTCTTTTCTATATTGAAGATATTTTACATTTATGTTGTAGCACTTCTTTCACAAGTATAACGACAAAATCTTGTAATTTTTTTTAACAAAATAATAATATCCATAATCTTTGATATTTACAACTTCTTTCTTTTTTATGTTATTTGTTGACACCATAAAAATAAAAAAAAAAAATTTAAAGCTACAGTCACGTGATTTATATTATTACGCTCTCCGTCTTCGTTGTGTTCGCGTGTCTGTTTCATCAATTTTCGCTTCATTCTTTATTTATACAAGCGTACACTTCAATTTGGTCAACAAATTGGCAAACAAATATCATCTCGGCGGAGCCGCGCCAGAGTATTGAATCCGCGGAGAGTACAATTTAATTGGAAAAAAGTTAACTCGCGACGGTATCAAAGGGCAATCAAAAAGGACCGTACGTCGGCGCGTGCCGAACAGTGGTCGGTGTGTCATAAGTCAACGAAGAGCACAGTATGGAGAGCACGACTCGTACATGTCTCCGCGCCGCGCGTTATCGATTTTATAATCAAGGCGGAG